TGAGATTGGATACATTCAGATGTAGCTTCTCAAATGCTACATTGGATACATTGGATAGGGGCTCAAAAGGTTAACTTTAGGTGCCAAATATTTACTTCATTGCTACATTAATTGTTTCCTCTTGGTTAGAATTTGGCTTAGGTGAAGAACACTCACTTTTGAAATTCAGTAGTTTGAGCATCATTATACATTGGATAGGGGCTCCATAGCTGAGATTGGATACATTCAGATGTAGCTTCTCAAATGCAGCTTCAGTAGAGAGTTCAGTTTTTCAATCATAATAGTGTTCTAAGGATACTAAGATTATCATTCATCCCGAATAAGATGAATAATAAGTATTAGTGCCTCATTTTGTTAAATAAATCGTGACCTCATAGTTATTTTCCACTTAGTGTTATCCTTCCTATCTATTCCACTATAATAATGGGAGGATCCGAGATTCACGTTTCATGCTATAGTAATGCTACAGTAATTATTGTGGCACCGTTATCGTTGCACAAACAGGAGGATCCAAGATTCACTATTCACGCTACCATAAATTATTGTAGCAATATTACTATAGTTCAGACGTGATATTGTAGCATATAAAACGTTACTGTAATGCTTTAAAAAACTATGTTTAAATATAGAATTAGTGTAGCAGAAATAGAATAATGGAAGCTATGTTTTGCACAGGGAGCACACTAGTGTGAAATTATAGTAGCTCTCATTTTTCATTCAGAACAAATTGTAATCCGTCTACTAAATATTTGATGATTATGGTCTAAGAAGCTATCTTTCTATTGCTTGGGAACCAGGGAGAGGAAGTAATCACTACGTAGGTTACAAGTTCAAGAAAAGTAGTCTTTATTCCAACAAGGAAGAAAAAAGATAGGAAAAAAAGGATCGATTTTCCTTGATTTTTCATTAACTTGTGTTCAATTGCGGTCCACTTCAGTAATGTTCATTGACGTCTGAAACAAAGGCATGTGCCCTGCACAATATTGTATTTCCTCTCATCATGAAAAAAGATTATAATTATGATACCACTGACAACTTAGGGAATCATCTCATATCCTAAAATTGTTTACAATTTTCTTGGTGCCCGTTTATCAAGTGAGCACATGTTTTGATCCAGACTCTTGCAATTGAAATATTTTTTTTTTAAAGAAGTGCAGCTTGTCCAGATAGTTGAGAGGTTCTCATATGGATCCCAAAATCTTGAGTTCGACTACCATATCAACAACAACAAAAGCTTTTTTGTCTTCTTTTTATTTTGAAAAGAAAAAAAAGGACCCTGAATTTATTTGTTTATCAAGAGTTATAAATCATAATCTAAATATCATTATTTGGACCTTTTCATAGAAAATACCTCTCTTTCTTCTGAAGAAAATTAGAGGGTTAATTATGAAGAGATCCTCTTAGTATCGCATAATTTCAACTAGACCCCCTTAGTCCAATTTGTGTGAACAAGCCTAGCTAAGTGATTCTTTTTTAAAATAGACAAAAAGATGTTTTAAGGAGGTAGATAGAAGAGTTCTATTGGTGAGAATAAATTCTCAACCGCTAATCTGTTTTGACTAGTAAAAGGGTTGAAAAAAATCATTAAGACTTGGTCCAATACTATAGGAGTTTTCTTGCACAAATAGAACTATATGTAGGACTAGATTGCAAGAGGAATAGAAAGGGTAAAAATCACTTTCATTGGTTTAATTTGCTTAATAGTTCCTGTTGATGTTAGTTATCGAACAGGGGGTTTATTTAGGGATTAATGTCGGTTTAGGGTTCTCAAACTTCTTCAGATGTTCAGTTTTGGAGCCTAACATTCTCTACTGCACATAAAAAGCTCGTGAGGGGTCGTTGTTGGGTTCTCCGGTTGTTCCTCCGATGATCAAGTTAGTGTATAAACTTGAGTGGGAAAATAAGAAATAAGTATGAAAGCAGAAAAAGTTACCTTATGCAGTGCAGCTTCCTTTTATAGTAGATAGGAAGGGCATAAAGGTAACTGTGGTCGAGTCCAAGTAGACAGCTGACTTGGCAGGTGCCTTACAGCTGTTAGCCGCTAAAGAAGGTGAGTCATCAAATGTTTAATGTGAGGATGACATTAAATGATTGGTGCTGACTGGGTGCGATGAGTCATGAATACTATGGGGGCTAGAGCAATGATAACCCTGACAGTGTATTTAAGGCAAGGGTAGTTGTCGGCGGGAGGTTCGAGGACACACCGCCTCTCTAGTTGTCTGGCTAAAGGCCAATAAACATTGCCTTTTTAGTCGGTTACTCAAGTTGTCGGCTGATATAGAGAGCCGACTGTGGAGTCTTGAGGGCTCGACCTGAAAAATAGGTCGACAAGTATCACCTCTCGAATCGGTCACGTAAGTTGTCGGCTAATGGAGTCAGCCGTAGGAGAAGCTCGAGTTGTTGGTTTGCAGGAGTAATCTGATTAAGCGCAGAATGAGACACGCGTCGACTTCCTAGCAGAGATTAACGCTTGGTCATTTTGTAGCCTATAACAGCTCCCACCAACAAGAATACAATACAGACTTATATCAATATTAGTCACTCAAATCTTTCATTTTGATACTAGTCCCCCAAATCAATGAGATTACTTGAACTTCACTTGTTTTTTGAATTTTTCTGCCTTAGGGGAATATTCCTCCAACTTCAATTGTTTAGGCGTGGAATAATATCCCTTTAGGGGTTGTTTGTTTGGGCTAAATTTTAGGAAACCAGCATTTTTGGAACAAAAAGTAGGTTTTGGGTCATTATAGGATTCCAAAAGTTGGGTTTGTTTCAAAATTTTTTAAGAAAAGGTTTTTTAAAAGGAGAGAAAATAGTGAATTTTTTGGACAGCACAAATCCTATCTTTTGACTTGGAAATGGGCTAGAAAGTTGACATATTTGTCAGCTCAACTTTTCCTCTCTCTCTATGATGGTTCTTTTCTTATTCTTTGAAAATGAAACAAACATGAGTTTTGGATATGCTTTCCTATTATTTGCTTTATCATTCCAAATCAAACAAAGTTTTGAATTCCCTAGATATCCTAAAAATTTTGAATTTGATTTTTTGTGAGGAAATCCATTTCCACGATTTTATGGAAATGAACCAAACAGTCCCTTAGTACAAACTGAAGCCCATATTCATTAAGGNTCACAAAACTTCCCTTAAGTTTAGGCGTCATTAGAAAACCTCCTTTAACTTTGAGATGTTAAAGAGGTTTTTCAGATAAAATTTAAACGTTGGGGGTCCTAATATTTTGAAAGTTAAAGGTACTTTTCTAATAATCGTACTAAGTTAAGGGGATTTTATGATATTTAGCCTTCATTTAAATTATACCAATTTACACGTCCCGTCATGTTTCAATAAGACCCAAACATAAGCTCATTTAAGAATTCATCTTTATGAACTTTTCTTTAGTGACACTAGTTTGGTAATACTCATACATGGTCAGTGACGGATCCAGAATATCCGAAAAATGGTGTCACTACATAATTAATAATGTTAACTGTGGATAGATCGTTTGTAGCATCACTAAATTAAACTTGTTATCATGATAGTCCTATTGTTGTAGATAGACTGTTTGAATGAATTCTTTTCATGGGGTCTATATGCAATAGTATATCTTCACTGGTTGTGGCTTTCTTTTAGTACTCTTTTATTCTTCTTTGGGTTGTTTTTGTTATTAGTGAAACATATAGACAATTAGTCGTCGTTTCTCTCTCTTAAAATGTTTCACTCAGAGGGATTATATGTAGCTAGGGGTGGGCATGGGTAGCGCCGATTCAGACCAGTGACACGACCCACTAGGTTTAAGGACGGGCTGGGTTAGAATGTGTCGGATTTATTTCTCTGATCCCAAGTCTCGGACTGGACCTAGCCCGGCCCATGACCCGCCTAGGTGCGATTCGGGTCTGATCAGGCCCATGGCCCACTGGTCATGGGTCGGGCCGTGGGTTTTTCGTCCAACTTTTTTTCTTATTTTTTATTTTTTTAATTATATTAAACTTATATTTACAATTATGAAATTATTTTTAATTTATTTTTTATTAATTTAAAGTTGTATTAAACTATTTTAAATCTTATATTAAACTTTTTAATCATTTCAAGTAGACAGCGACACAACGAGCTTAAAGATCATTGCTTTATTTCTCAATGGGCTAAAAAGCACACGAGTCAAAAACCTATGGCCTTTTGACTTTATTGGTAGCTAGCTGCATACCCAAAGAGCTAAAGGAACAACCAGCCTAACTAAAAAATATATCATGGGCCGAGTCGGGTCGGGCCGGGGGGCAGATCAGGTGTGGGTCAGGCCTACTTTTTTGGGCTGAATCCTGGCCGGCCCGTGATCCATGTATACAATGGGCCGAGTGGGCCCGATTCCCACTAGGGGTCGGGCTAGGTCGTGACCATGGCTGGCTGAGCTGGGTTTGTGGCCCACACCCAACCTATCTGTAGCAATAAAACTCTCTCTAGGGTTTTTTTTCATAACAACAAAACTGCAAGGATAGTAATTTCAGTTTAGCGATAGTACAAAGGGTCTATATGTATATGCAAATGACCCTAATTAATAATTACACGTTCTAAATGATTTTACTCAATAGATAGCAAAAACTGATTCAGAGAAGCCTATAGTGGCGCCGCTTGACACCACTTTGACATAGGCGGATCCGCCGCTATACATGGTTTAAACACTAACCTGTCCATCATTAACAGATCGGACGAATTTTATAAACGGGGGACGAATTTTCAAGCACTAATATTATTTTAGGGACCTAATATTAATTTTTGTGGGTTGAGGAACCAATCTCAAATATGAGAAAGATGTGAGGGACTAATACAGAATAATCCTATAATACACCACTCATAGGAGACGGAAACAGAGAAAGAAATAAACAAAGCAACTGAAGCTTTTCAACGATATAATAATAATAATTTCTGATCCAATCTCAGATTCCTCTCCTCCCTCCTCACTTCCGATCTACTCTCGACACTCCCTCCTCTTCCTCCTCGATCTCCCCCCCCCCCCCCCCTTCCCTCAAACCCTAACCCTACCTAATCTCTCCGTCGCAGCGGACCCCAACCTCATCCTCTCTCGCTCTCGCCCATCCCTTGACCCCTCTCATCCCCCGGGCCACCCAATGGGTAACACCTTGCGTGGGCCCCACCTCCCGAGCCGCTTCTTCGACTCCGTCTCCAACGCCGTCTGGCGCTCCCGCGACCCAAACCCTAGCCCTAACCCCGGCCTCCACGCCCGACGCCTCCGCCTCCGCCTCCGATCAAGTCTCCGACAAACCCCCGAGCCATCAAAATCCCCGACGCGTCCCCTGACCCCCAACGCTTCAACCCAAACCCTAGCCGAGCCCGAGCGCCACCGCCGCCGGAGGCCAAGCAGAACCCGCCGCTGCGGTGAAGCGGCATGCCGAGCGCTGCCTGAATGATTCGCGACTCCGTCTCACCCCAAGACGCGCCAGCTAAAGGACGTCTACAGCCTCGGCCGCAAGCTCGGCCAAGGACAGTTCGGCACGACCTACCTCTGCATCGAGAAATCCACCGGCCGGGAACTCGCATGCAAGTCAATCGCCAAGCGAAAGCTCATAACCCCTGAGGACGTCGAGGATGTCCGCCGTGAGATCCAGATAATGCATCATCTTGCTGGGCATCCTAATGTTATTGAGATTATTGGGGCTTACGAGGATGCTGTGGCTGTGCATCTGGTGATGGAGCTTTGTGCGGGCGGGGAGCTTTTTGATAGGATTATACAGAGAGGGCATTATTCGGAGAAGGCGGCAGCTGGGTTGGCGAGGGTTATTGTTGGGGTTGTGGAGGCTTGCCATTCGTTGGGGGTGATGCATAGGGATCTTAAGCCGGAGAATTTCTTGTTTGTGAATCAGAGCGAGGAGTCTAAGCTTAAGACTATTGATTTCGGGTTGTCCATTTTCTTCAAGCCAGGTGATTACTTTGAGTTATGATGATAGACCAATGACATAAAGTTGCAACTTTTTCTCAAGAAAATCTTAAAAGACTACAGCTCGGAACATTTTGATAGTATTGAGCTCAGTTGCAAATGAAGTAGTAGGCTATGTTTATCAATTTTGATTTGTCTATGCCAGTTATGCTACAAAAACCAAACAGGGCATAAATGTGGCAAGAATTACCAAAAAAATCTATAAGCTTATGTATGACAAACATACCATGATGATTAATTTTGACTATAACACATGACTGTATTTGGCGATAATGTTAAATCTTGGCACATTTGATTCCCACTCCGCAAGAGACAAAAATTTCCAGGACCTCCCTATTTGGATGGTCTTCGAAGTAGATAATAAAAACGGAAAAACTATGTTGCATATGGTTTCTCTGATTTTCCAGAAAGAACAAAGCTCAGTAAAGTTATCACACAAAACAGTTCTCCAAGGTTTTTTGGTAACACTATGATTTGAGTCCATGACATGAGTATCTGCGTATTTATAGAAGCTCTAATTTTTTTGGTTATCCCAATTGTTGGTCAGTTCATTTCTAGAAGGTGAAAGGAGTCATATAACAGAAAACTACGTTACGTGGCAGTTTCATATAGAACAATTTAATGTTCAGAATACATGAATATGAGCAAATCACGGCATTGAGACAATATCAATCCCCTGATGAAGTTCTACGTTCAACACTTTTTTCATTTTTTGTTAGTGGTTACTTGTAATTGTATTCATGTGTGTGTACTCTTGGGTATGCATGCCCATGCAGGCCAAAAATGTTACATTATTTATTTATTTCTTATAGCTGTTTGGATATATTTGAGATTTTTCTAATTTATATCTTGGTATATATCTCCCTGAATCTGTTGAACTTTTTTGATCCGCTTTCTTCAGGAGAGATATTTACTGATGTTGTTGGGAGTCCGTACTATGTTGCACCAGAAGTACTGAAGAAACGTTATGGTCTTGAGGCAGATGTTTGGAGTGCTGGAGTAATCATTTATATTTTGTTGAGTGGGGTTCCTCCATTTTGGGATGGTGAGAAATTCATAACTTACTTGTCTCCTTAATAATAGTATATATGTATGTTCTTTAAAAAAATTCTGCATTTTGTATGTTCTATCAACAGAAAATGAGCAAGGGATATTTGAACAAGTTTTAAGAGGTGACCTGGACTTCTCATCCGATCCATGGCCTAGCATCTCACAGAGTGCTAAAGATTTGGTGAAGAAAATGCTTGTGAGGGACCCCAAAAAGCGTCTCACTGCTCATGAAGTGCTATGTAAGTTTTGTTTCTTAAAATGTGGGGTGCCTAGGATTAAACACAAGTGCAAATTATTGTCAATTGCTATTTAATCTTGCCTTGCATTTCTCACTGCCCATGAAGTGCCTAGCACTAAACACAAGTGCAAATTATTGTCAATTGCTATTTAATATTGTCTTGCATTTCTCACTGCCCATGAAGTGCTTTGTAAGTTTCTCCCTTTGAAATGTGTAATGCCTAGCATTAAACTCATGCACAAGTTAATTGGCGCTTGCTATTTATCTTCGCGTGCAGCTTTCCCTGTGAAATGTTATTAGAGTCCCATTTATGGACACTATTGTCTTTCTCAGATGGATGCATTTAGAGGATATTAAGGTCTTGGTTTTACAGACCATAGTCAGGATCATTTCTGTAGGCTGTAGTCATTAACTTAATATGGATGACCCTCATTAGATAATCGGCAACCTTTATAGGAAAATATATAGACATAAGTCACATAACTATATGTGGTCCAGATCTCTATTCTAAAGATCTAAATTTCTGCTGTAAGAAAAAATTAAACAGAATGTTATTATTCAGACCTGTTTCCTTCTTATTTGCCTGCAGGCCACCCTTGGATTCAGGTTGATGGAGTAGCTCCTGATAAGCCTCTAGATTCTGCTGTTCTCACTCGCTTAAAGCAATTTTCTGCAATGAACAAGCTCAAAAAGTTGGCACTGAGGGTGAGTATTTGGCTAGTTAGGCAGTTTCACATTTGGTCAATCCCCATTTTAAGATATTGCTCGATGGATTCATATAAACTAATTTGTCTATAGGCAAGCATATCATGTTAGCATGTGACACTATATGCAAGAAGTGAATCAAGTGATTTAATTAAGCAAATGAAAAAAAAGTGATTTGTTGCTCTCTCTTTAATAAGTCTGCATTTTCTTTTCTTCACCTTATTAGCATCTTATCAGGACTGAAGCAACAGATGCATCTTATCACTTTTAATCTTGTTTACTGGAAGTGTTTTATCCCCTCTAGGCTTCTAGAGCATAGGGATAACACAAGTTAAGATTGGCTACTGGTATAATAGAAATTGACTGTCTGGAACCTGGTTATTTTAAGTTAAGACTTAAGACATGCTGTCTAAATTATAAACATATGCAAAAAAATCAAGCTCGATTTTTTTTGAAGAGGACACACAAATAGTTGTTTGATATTTTGGACTGTCTTTCTCATTTCTTGTAACTGTTTCAATCCTTCATACTAATGACAATGTTTTCTAGGTTATTGCTGAGAGCTTGTCAGAAGACGAAATTGCTGGCCTCAAGGAAATGTTCAAGATGATGGATACAGACAATAGCGGTCAGATCACATATGAAGAACTTAAGGCTGGTTTAGAAAGAGCTGGTGCAAATCTGAAGGAGTCTGAAATATCAGCTCTAATGGAAGCGGTATGTGCAAGATGTGCTTCAAATTTTCAATTACGTTTGAATATCAGTTATACACAAACTTCGAATGCTTCATTGCTTCTCCTTGTTCCGATACTTGAAGATTCATAAATTGTTTTCATTTAACTGTTTTAACAGCTTAAGTTTAGTTCTAGTGCGTAATGAGTTGTAGAGATATCAATTTATCTGTGGCATCATTAGGTCCATTACTAAATGTGAATTTCAGGCTGTCTGAAAATACTTCAGAAACCTAATTTGCAAACAATATAACATCCGTTTGTTTGTAGTAAATCCATGTTGGCTTATGTTTATGGTTGGTCATATCATGATCAGTAACTAGCGTTTTGAAAGTTGAAAATTGAAATAATAAACATGTGTGCTTCCCTGTCCCCCTACAAGTTAGCTAAATAAATTGGCAGCTCTGCTGAAAAGCGTTAAAAACTTTACATGCTATTATCAATGGCAATTTGCATATAATTTTTGTTAACTAGCATATGAAACTGGTGGTCCTCTGAATTTTATAAAACTTTAGGCTTATTCATCTAATGGATTAAAAGATTCAAAAAGCTTCTAGCCATCATTATCATCAAAGGATTTTCTCCTCTAAAATTGTTGTGTTTGCAACTCAGAATTTGAAATCTGCAAACTTCCATAAAAAGAATTGTGAAAGATTTTATGACCAGCTGCCATCCTGACAGCAATATGGATTAAAAGATTCAAAAAGCTTCTAGCCATCATTATCATCAAAGGATTTTCTCCTCTAAAATTGTTGTGTTTGCAACTCAGAATTTGAAATCTGCAAACTTCCATAAAAAGAATTGTGAAAGATTTTATGACCAGCTGCCACCCTGACAGCAATCCTATGTTGTGCCTATATCCCTCAGTGTAGCTATGAGCAAAAATTATGATAAGGAGTCCTCTTGTGGTCCTTAGCAGCCAGTTGGTTATTGGTTAACCAGCCTCATGCAGTTTATTTAGTCAATGTTAATGAAATGTGATCAGTAGCTGCCTGTTATCCCTATCAGAGTACTAAGCCCCTACAAATGGTCTAATTGCAGACATAACATCTCTAACTGCATCCATGTTATTTAGTGTATCATGTGATGTGTATAGTTAATCCTTTTCCAAATGTTAATGTAACTGTGGATAAAATCCCTTGAGTTGCAAATAAAAGTCATTTTTATCTGTTCGCATCTGTAGAACTGTCTCCTGGATTAGGAGACTGATTTTAGCATGGGTAGATAAAAGATGTATCCGGCTAGTGATACTGCATGATATATATTTTGCTTCATCAAGTGATGAGTAACAAGTTGGTTGAATGTAAAGCTTGAGCATGTGTTAAATTATTATTTTTTGAGTATATTAAGCTTGAATGCATATCGTAGTCTTAGCATTTTGTCACTTTACTGCGGTTTCCATTAAAAATATTCCCCCACTTGAAGCAAGGTTTCAAATGTTGGATGTCGGGTTCATATCGGACGGCTAAAATCCATATCGGATAGCGAAAATCGGGGATATGTCGAGGGACATGGACTAAATATCGGATTATCATATCGGGTGGTGCGCATATGTATAATATCATGTTCTAAATGCAATCTAAGCATTCCTAAATTCAATTTAAGCATACTTTATAAATTCTATAGTCTAAACATATAAAAAAGTAAATAATATATGACGTTTAGGAATAAAATTGATTTTAACTTTTAAGTTTGTAATTGCTTTTGAGAAACAACCAAAATGAAGAATAAGATTAAAACTCTAGAATTTGCTCACCATAAACTGCAAAAAATAAAAATAAAAATTAAAAAAATAAAAATATCAGAGAATTAGAGAGAGACTGAGAGAGAGACGAAGAGATTGAGAGAGAGATAGACTCAGAGAGAAAGAGAGAGACGAAGAGATTGAGAGAGAGAGAAAGAGAGAATCAGAGACTGAAGATAGAGAATGAGAGAGAGAGAGAGAGAGAGAGAGAGAAGACTCACCGTGACTGGCCAGAGGGAAGCTTGAAGTTGTCGTTGGATTCTGTCGATGCAGGGAAGAGAGAGAGGAGGCGG